GGCTGGTGGGTTTGAACCGCCAGCCTCTGGTTAGCAGTCAAATGCCTTAGGCACTATGCTACCAGAGCTCCTAACTAACTATAACTAGCAATAAATAACTATATATAACTGTCACTAACTATATATAACTATTACTAATTATATATAACTATAACTGAAAAAAAAAGCTAACCAAAGTCACTGCCATCGAGTCGAATCTGACTCACAGAGACCCCTCCTTGGGTTTCCCAGGTGGTATCTCTACGGAAGTTGATTGCTCAATCTTCCTTCCAAGGAGTGGCTGGCGGGTTTGAACTGCCAGCCTTCTGGTTAACAGTCAAATGCTTTAGGCACTATGCCACCAGAGTGCCCATAAGAATAACTAACTCAAACAAACAAAAAAAACAAAACCCAAACTCATTACCATTGAGTCGGTTCCAACTCATAGCAACTCCTCCTTAGGTTTCTGAGGCAATATCTCTACAGAAGTAGATTGCCTAGTCTTCCTTCTGAGGAGTGGCTAGTGGGTTTGAACTGTCAGCCTTCTGGTTAGCAGTCAAATGCCTTAGGCACTATGCCACCAGAGCTCCTATAACTAACTATATATAACAATAACTATCACTATAGTTATATAATATATATATATATATAGTTATATAGATATATAATTATCATTGACTATCACTATCACTAACTATACATAACTATAACTATCACTAACTATGGTACGTATATGACTATAGCTAATTATAACTATCACTATCACTAACTATATATAACTATCACTAACTATATATAACTCACTAACTCACTAACTATACATAACTATAACTATCACTATGTATAACTATCACTATAACTATCATTAATTAACACTAACTATAACTTATTATCTAACTATAACTAACCACCACTAACTATATTTATAACTATAACAACTAACTGGGAGCTCTGGTAGCATAGTGGCTAAGGCACTTGCCTGCTAACCAGACGGCTGGCAGTTCAAACCCACCAGCCACTCCTCGGAAGGAAGGTTGGGCAATCCTACTTCTGTAGTGATACTGCCTCGGAAACCCAAGGAGGGGTCGCTATGAGTCGGGTTTGACTCGATGGCACATAACAACAACAACAACAACATAACAACTAACTATAACTAACTATATATAATATATATAATGTAAGTACATCGCATTTTGTTTATCCATTCATCTGTTGATGGACACTTGGATGGTTTCCACTTTTTGGCTATTGTGAATAATGTTGCAGTGAACATTGGTTCACAAGTGTCTGTCTGAGTTCCTACTTTCAAGTCTCTTAGATACATACCTATGACCGGAATTTATGGATAATATGGTAATTCTATAGCATAGTGGCTAAGACACTTGACTGCTAACCAGAAGGCTGGCGGTTCAAACCCACCAGCCACTCCTCGGAAGAAAGGTTGGGCAATCCTACTTCCGTAGTGATACTGCCTCGGAAACCCAAGGAGGGGTTGCTATGAGTCAGGGCTGACTGGACGGCACATAACAACAACAACAACAACATGGTAATTCTATGTTTAACTTTTTGAAGAAATCACCAAACTGTTTTCCCAAGTGGCTGCAGCAGTTTACATTCCCACCAGCAATGGATGAAGATTCCAATTTTTCCACATGCTAGCAGTACTAATTAGTTTCTATTTTTCTGATCATAGTCATCCTGGTGCATGTGAGGTGGTAGGTATCTCATTGTGGTTTTGGTTTGCATTTCCCATATGACCAATGATATTGAGTACCTTTTTATGTACTTACTGGCCATTTGTATATCTTCTTGGAGAAATATCTATTCAAGTCCTTTGCCAAATTTTAAATTAAATTGTTTGTCTTTTTGTTGTTGAGTTGTAAGAGCTCTTTATATATTCTGCATATTAAACACTTACCAGATACATGGTTCTCCAATATTTTCCCCTGTTCTATAGATTATGTTTTCACTTGGTTGACAAAGACTTTTAGTGTGCACCAGGTTTCGTTTTGATGAAGTTCAACTTATCTATTTTTTCTTTTGTTGCTCATGATTTTGGTGTTACATTTAAATTGTCAAAAACAAAGTCTTGAAAATTTACTTCTATGTTTTCTAAGAGTTTTATGGGTTTAGTTCTTATATTTAGATCATCAATACATTTTGAGTTAATTTTTGTATATGATATGAGGTATGAATCCCACTTCATTCTGTTGCATGTGGAGACCCAGTTATCCCAGCACCATTTATTGAAGAAACTATTCTTTCCTTAGTGAATAGACTTCTCATCCTTATTGAAAATAAGTTAGCTATTGATGTAGGAGTTTATTCTTGAACTTTCAGTTCTATTCCATTTGTCTATACGTTTACCCTTTATGTCAGTACCATACTGTTTTGAGTATTGTAACCTTATAGCACATTTTGAAAGCAGGAAGTGTGCTTTCTATTTAGCTTTTCTTTTTCAAGATTGTTTTAGTCCCTTGCAATTCCATATGATTTTTAGGATTGGTTGAAAATTCTTTAGCAGGAACTAATTGCACAGAGAGGATAGCAAAAGGAACTGACAATTGATTAAGATTTGCATTTCTTTATCTAAATTTATTATTTTTACAAATTCAAAATAAGGTTCATATTAGTGGATTGCCAGAGGCAAGGACAATATATGTGTTTGGATGCCTGTATAGTAAACCTTTGATTGATGGCTAGGGTGCGTGATCCCAAAGGGGGTTGGAAGAATGCCCCAATTATTCACCAGGTGGAATGGAAGGCAAATGAAATTCTGAGGACCCCACTGCTGTGAACTCCCAGGTTCTTTTAGAACCCATCTGTGGTAGTTAAATCTGTGTGTCAACTTGGCTGGGCCTGGTTGAATGGATAGGCAGCTGGAGGTAGTTATTCCCCATGGGTGAGATTGGTAATTAACTTCATGGTGGAATCTATTGGAGCAGCTGAATAGGTGCTTTAGGGATGTGGTCTGCTTCCCCTATAAAAGAAACAGCTTTGGGAATGGTCTCTAGCTAATGGCACATTTGAACCTTGCATGTAGCTGTGTTGTTGTTCAGCAGCCTGCTGTGCTCTGCCAACCTTGGGACTTTCAATGGACTTGAATCAATGGCCTGCCATGTTGTTTGATAACATTGGGACTGTGGCTTTTTACTTGTCAACCCTGGGCTTGTCAGCCTCAGTAGCCAGCAGCTGGGTGAAGAAAAGCCTCCAGCTTCAGTGGGCCGGGAGCAGGAGGCAGAACTGAAGCCCAAGGTTGAGGGGCTTTCACTCAGACCCTAGAGCCTGGCACTTTGAACTCAGACTTAAAGCCTCCAAACTGTAAGAGAATAAACTCCTGTTTGTTAAAGCCTTTCCATTTATGGTATATTTCTGTTAGAGTAACACTAGGTAACCAAAACACCGTCTAAGCCCTGCGACTCCCTCCTTTGTCCCCAAGGGAGAAGCAAAAGAGCAACTAGGAGCCACACTCTGGCTTGTGGTTTTGTCCAGTCTGCAATGGGAAGGGCATCTAACCTTTGGTCTCTGAGATGAAACATGGAATTAGAAACCATCAGTTCTCCCATAGCAGCAGAACCTCTGTGTCTACAGCTGATCTTCCAGCAGATCAACGCATGGTAAGGATGAGTTGTCTATGAAGCATAGAGCAGAGAGGCAACAGTGTGAGCAAAGGCCTCAAGGTGGCCATGTGTGTTGTGTGTATGAGGGAATGACAGTTCAGTGACAGTTAGCATTTCTATCTGCCAGTAGTTGTGTAGCACAAAAGAGGGAGAAAACGCCTGCAGAAAGTGAGAGAGATATGTTGCGAGAGAAACACTTCAACTATCTAATTTCTTATATGACAGATTATAATTGCCCCATAGGGTTTTCAAGGCTGTAAATCTTTATGGAAGCAGACTGCCAATCTTTTGGTTAGCAGCTGAGTGCTTAATTGTTTGAACCACCAGGGCTCCTTAACAAATATATAGAAACCAAAAATTGTAAGTGGTTACCAGAGGTGTGAAGGAGAAGAAAAGGGCAAATTTTTGCTTAAGGGCAGTGAATCAATGTTAATGATGGTGGAATAATTTGGAAAAGGATAATGAGAATAGTTGCACAACTTGAAGAATGTAATCAATGTTGCTGAATTGTGCATGTAGAAATTGTTGAATTGGTGTCTGTTTTGCAGTGTATATTTTCACCACAATAAAAAATGCACCAGAGAACTTGAAGGGCCTTCTGCTGAGTGAAATAAGTAGATCACAGAAGGACAAATATTGTATGAGCCCACTATTATAAAATGTCAAGGAAAAAGTGCACAGAAGGGAAATTTCTTTGTTGGTTACTAGGGATGGGAGGGGAGGGGAGGAAAAAGTTCTAGCTAGGTAAGAGACATGTATTGAAGGGAAAAGCAATATTCCAAAAGTAGGTGACCAGCATAATATTACTAAGGAAAAGGAAGATATGGAGAGGTACACAAGAGGTACAGACAACAGAGGTAAATTCTATTACATACATACTACTGCATTATCAGTAATAACAAACATTAATCTATGGGTACATAGATAGACCCATGACTATGACATATGATATTTCTATATATGTATTTCTATGTGTTATAAAAATATCCATATATATTATAGAACTAACATAGGGCAGAGAGATGCACTCACCTACCCTAGGAAGATGTACCCCTTAGATCAATCAATGAGAGATCCAAAAGGCTGTATTTGCATAGAGGAAAAGCTGGGCAGATGGGAATGCACAGATAAGAAGGAACACAGGGAAGGGGTAGTCACAGGGAGGAGATGGGAGGAGAGCTTTTTGTTGTTGGGATTGTAATGGGGCGAGGGGTGAGCCAGGAAACCAAATGTACATGAACTGTGGAGAGTAAACTGAATCTGTTTTTTAAACTTGCACACAAATCTCTCTCTCTCGCTCTCTCTCTCTCTCTCTCTCTCTCTCTCTCTCACACACACACACACACACACGCATAAAGCTAGACTTTAAAAGCTGAAGTGTTCAAGGAGTTTAGGTTCTTTTTCTCTGTTTTCTAAAGAGATAGCTGATATTCCCTAGTGGTTATAATAATAAATATGTACAAATATGAGGAATGTGGGCTATAACTATAAGCATTGTGGTGGGGATGTTTGAATTCTAGTTTCCTGTTACATGGTAAGTTATCCTCATTGATTGTCAGTTTAGATTAGCTGGGGATTGTCTTGGAAGAAACTGCAAGTTCCAACTCCTTAAAAAACAATCAAACAAAAAACACCCTTAGAATAACTATTTCAACCTTCCTTATTGTGAGTGCATTTTAGGGTCATACATAAGCTAGGAGTCAATGGATATACGGATTCCTCTGTGGGTGTGTTTGTGAGTGTGTGTTAAGCAAAATGTAGGAGTAATCATTCTTTCAGAAGAACCAGCTGAGACTCAAGGGTTTATAAAAGTTCTGAGAGTGCTCTGGCTCCCTTTGCCTCTCAAGACCATTCTGATCAATTAATGTGGATACAAGAATATTGCAAATATTTTCATTATCAACCCAACATGAACATCATCAGTTTTAAGATCACTTGCTTTGACATCATAGAAACTGGATAAAATCTCTTCTCTGGCCCTCGTTGGCAGGGTGACTTGGGGAAGTTAACAGCATTTCTGAGTCTAGCTCCTTATTATAGAGTTTAGAAGTTAGAATGGGGATAAAATGCATCCAAAGCAGAACTTCAATGAAAGTTGTGATTCTTATTATCATTGTTAGTAGGAGTTGATGAAACATAAACCTGGAATACGCAGTGCAGTGGATAGCAGCAATGTGCTTCCCAGGTTTGTTTCTCACATGCCTTTTTTACTTTGGGAATTCTTTGCCAGCATGAGTCTTTCTTTCCTTCTTCTATAATATGCAGTTAATAACCCTACCTCATAAGGACATTGAGTGAGTCCTGGTGGCTCTTGGTTGCTAACCAAAAAGGTCAGTGGTTCGAAACCATCAGTTACTCTGCGAGAGAAAGATGTGGCAGTCCGCTTCCATAAAGATTTACAGCCTCGGACACCCAATCGAGGCAGTTCTACTTTGTCTTATAGGGTCACTGTGAGTTGGAATTGACTCCATGGTAGTGGATTTTATTTTGTTTTGGGTACAGGGATATCATGGGGAATCAAAGGCTGAAATAATTTGAAGTTTCTTCATGAATAATGATTTCCCATGAAAATGAGAGATTCTGACTTTCCTGTCTGATGGTGGGAAGGAACAAATGCAGTGAACAGTCAATGGAAGCGTGTGCTAATGTCACACTTGTTTAGTACAATGATTAAAGGTATTCCATCTGGAGTCAGACAGACTTCCTCCTTTCTACTTTCTGTGTCATTTGATAAAACCACTTAATTTTTCTGGGTTCAGTTTCCATATGTGTTTAAATTGGGGTAATGATACAGTGTATCTTATAGAGTGGTTATGGGGATTAAATCAGATAATGGTTGTCAGATACTTAGAACAAAGCTGTTACATATTTAGTGCTCAATAAATATTAGCCACTATTGTTATTGTGGTTAATAAAATGATGATGTTTTGTTCTATGTCCTAGTTACTGCCTGATCAATTGGGTTTGCAAATTGGGGTTGCAGATAAACAGTTTTAAAGTTATGACCGTATTCATACCTACCAGTGGCAAATCC